TTTTTAGAGCTCTCTTGCATTGGAAGCCTTTGGTTATGCTAGTGCCTTCCTCTTGCCAGATTCTATCCTGGGAACCAAGGTACCTGGACCAAATGCCGAAGGGGGGGCAACACCCCCATCAGGTAAGAAAAGCTCATGCTTTATGTGAGGCACCAATTTCCACTTCTAGGATGGAAGACTGAGGTATGGTCTGTGCGTGTGTGTGTGAGGGGGATGGCACTTTCGGGTTTTTTCCAGAGGAGGTGGAATGAATTTCAGTTGGACACCAGGCAGAATTATGAACTAGGATACCTCCTGGCTCCTCTGCTAAGCTCCCACTTTTTCGGGGGAACATGGTGACTCTTCGGTTTCATACTAACTGTTGAGCACCTGCTCAGGAAGTGTAATGTTGGCAGGAAACTTCACCTGTGAAGTTGCCTTAACGGCGAGGAACCGGGCAGCGTCTTCCTACCAGCAGCTGCTGGAGTAAGACTGCAACGGTTTTCCTCCCCAGATGTCTCCCTTCAGGGCTTCAGGTGCACTTGGCATGTCCCAACAGTGCTGCTGATGACACCCTGATGAAAGGAGGGTAGACATTAAAAAAAAGAAAAGAGGGATGTCAATAAATGCCTGCCCCCAACTTCTCTAGGTTTCCTATTTGCTGTGCAAATACAGCTAGAAAGAGTCCAAAGGGCTTCTTAGGTTGCAGAAAGCGTTTTTGTGTGCCAGAATTGGATGCGGTTCTCCGTAAGATAAGATAACATACCTGGTTCTTGTACTTTGCCTCCGTGGCTTTTCAAAACCCCTTTGGGTGTCTTATTCAGTGCAGCGTTAATGTAACCAATCCCAGTCCAGGGCACTGTGGATCCCTTGTCGCAGGGAGGGTTATAAAAAGGATCTTTATCAAGCTTCCGTTGCTACCTGTTATTTCTTTAGAGATTAGAGACGCACAGAAATAAATGCAGGTTTACAACGTTTGTTATTCATTTTCTGAAGTAAACCCTTCAGTGATTTCCTCATTCCTATCTTACATACGTGCCCACTCAAAGTCAGGCTCGGGTTCCAGAAGGGTTGAGGCGGGACACCCCCACCACACCTGCACATTGTTCTACATGATGGCTTCAGAATACCTATCTACCCTATAATTTCCAACAAGTTTGATCAGATTGACCCCTCTTCTCAGCCCTATTTCTCCACTTGGGTGCCAATGCCTCAACTAGTTCATATGGAATTTTCTCTTATGGGGCCTTCATTCTGGTATTTTCCCACATGCTTACATTCCCAGAACAAACCTTCCTGCTTCATGTCCTGCTCTGTGGGCCATGAAAAGCATTATTCTGTGGGTAGCTGTGAACCCCAACAGCCTGAAATACTGTACTCACATTTGTAACTTAGACATTGCAGGTTCATAGCTACCATGTGATCTCTGTTCATCTGCTTACTTGGGTGGAGAAAAAGTTGCACCAGATCCATTTCTGATCCATAGCAGACTTGCTGGAAGAATCTTTAATTCTGAGATTTTCTGGCAGCATTTATAACTTTCTAGACAATTTCAACTGCAGAATGCAGAGGTCATACAGTTCTCATTCTATAAACCCAAAGAGGCATGGAACACTTAATGTGCAACTTTTTAGCAAGCCATCTTTCTAGCTATAATTCAGAGAAGACATGTAGAAGGAGGGGTTGGCCACCAGATTCCTGCTCTCAACTCCAGACAGAACTAGCAAGGAAAGGAGGTGGCTGGTTTCTCTGCTCTTAGCCCTCTCTCAGGCCTAATTGTGAAATGTGCTGGGTTGACTTCAAGGTTCACAGAGCAAGGTGAGCACGAGGGTGAAGAAAGTTCCTATCTTGAAGGATGAGACTTTCATCTTGGCAGAAGGGTAAGGAGAGCTTTCCCCTAATTTCTCTTTGTCTAAAGTTGTGTTTGTAGGAAATGGTCAGAGGATGCACAGCAGGGAACTAAGGAGCTGGAAGCAACTAGAGGTTTGGGGTCAGGGACATAATAGAGTTACAGCTTTAGATGTTAATTCTGGAAATCTCTCTTCTTGTTTATCCCAAATGACACCAGATAACAAGTTATTCAGTCCTAAGTTTGACTGGACACCGGGGAGGGTGGGAGTCCCTCAGAAATGGAGCGGTACCAGGAGGACCTCTCTGCGGTACCTCATGTTACATGAAATGGGCCACAGAACTTTAGTAGACCAGATGGGCAACTGAAAACCCAAAATGGTTTTGGTTGTCTCAGTTGTTTCACCCTTGACAATCCTGATTTTGAAGTGTTTTGATTAAGGCAGCTACTCTGTTGTGTTTGCTCACCAGCTCCTCTCCTGTAGAAACTAACACCTCTCTTCCTTTTGTGATCCTGTCCTCCTACTTGATTCCTTTGGCTTCCATGAATCCATGGTCAGCACGGCCATCCTTCTGTACCTGAGTCGCAAGTACAACACCCCAGATCACTGGTACCCATCTGACATACAGAAACGAGCAAAGGTGGATGAATACCTGTCATGGCATCAGGCTAGCATTCGATCCAATGCTCCCAAGACAATGTGGATTAAGGTGAGGGATTTCAGGGGGATTCTGTTTGATCTGTAGAGATTTGGGAAGCCTCAGCTTGTTCCAGTCATGCATGAAAATACTAGAAGATTTAAGATCTATCCCCATCAGCTGAAACCTCCAATCTTTCTTCATGGTGCCCAATACTTCACTTTTTCCCCAAACTGCTTTTACAACCACTCTTTTGAGAGACTGCAGCTGCCGTGCATTTCCAGCTAAAGGACTGGTGGGCAGGAGTGCTTTCCAAGCCTTCACTGGGTGGATGCGGAGACAGATCCCCTCCCATCTTTCTGTAAATGAGATGGAGGCAGCTGTCTTCCTTTTAGCCCCACAGAGGGATGCGATGCTATTCAAGGAAAGAAAAGAAAGGATTTTTTTTTAAAAACCCACCATAACAGTTTGATGCAGAGTATGGTTTACCACAAAGGAAAGGTTGATTTTTAAAAGAAAAATAAATATTCTTAGGAAGCTAGTGTTCCTGGGAAAGGAGTGATTTATATTTTATCTCATTCTGAAATTATTTGCTACACACATACTAGGATCCAAAGCAGTGATTAACTATTTTTTGCATCTACATTCCTGAATAAATGTGGCAATGCAAATAGAGTTAATGGAGCCTTTTTGGTAAAACAGAAAAAAACAAACAAAAAGATTAAGAGGGCAACAGTGGAAATTCACAATGCTTTAGATAGCTAAATAGATGACATTTTCCAACATTCTCCACTTCTCCCATATTTATGTTACTACATGCTGCCATATGGCTTACGGTCATGTGTCAGCACCTGCAACCACAGTAGTTTCTCACCCAAAGAAGGGCCCTCAGTAGATCCTTCCTAGGATCCCACTATTTTGAAAAGGGAGGAGGCCAAGGTTGATAATCCATCCATCCATCTTCAGAGGAACACAACAATTTGGGACACTCACTTCCAAAGTGCTCCATCTTTGTGGCCACTGCCAAGATCTTTCTCCTCACTGAGACACTGAGACACTGAGACAACCACCACAGGAATGTCCAAGGAGCAAAGGCTGGATGGCCTTCCAAAGGCCACTACAACTCTAGGTTTACCAAGGCCATGGGGACCCGACACACAGGTTACCCCTTCTTTTTGAATTAGCCTCCTTGGCAATGACATAGCAGTTCAGCCAGCTGCTGTGAGCAAGGCTCCACAGTTCACCTCTGCTCATTTGAAAATCACCTCTGCTCTGGGGCCATCATGCTGGAGCACCTATTGCCCAAGAAGCAAGGCAAGTGTGCCTGTTAAGGGGAGCCAGCTGTCCTAAAGCTCTAGCGGGCGGCTGGCAGAGCTGCTCCACAGGAGCTCCAGAGGTTGGTGAATTTTGGTGTTCAGGGAAGAGGCATCCAGGTGGCTGTGCAAATGGTCTCTGCTACAGCTGCATCAGAGCTATAATGACTCTTTCGATGCTCTTTCAAACGCTGTCCAGTCTGGTTTCCATCATTGTGTCTTGGGAGAACAAATTCCATAGTTCATATGCAAATTGAAAAATCACCTCCTTTCATCTGTCCTGAGTCTCCCCTTATTCAGCTTGATGGGTTACTTTTGCTACTGTTAAGGCAAAAAACACCAGATGTACAGCTGCCCATGAAGGCAATTTATTTACTCAAGGGCAAGTAAGAACAGAGTTTCTCTCTTCTTTTTCTTACTTAAAATACCACAGAGTCCAAAGGTAATTTAGACACAGTTCTTGTATAGACAGACATAAGTGAGTTGCAGCCACAGAAGGAGTGACCATGTTTACTTTCCAAACCCAAAGCAAAAGCAGCAAGGGAGGAGCACGTTTCTGGCACAGAAAACAAAGCCGCTGCAGAGGATCAGAAGCCTTCTTCCTTCAGTTCGTAGGTACTGAGCACCCAGTCGTGGCTGTGTCAGGGGGCTTCACTTTGCCCTGCCAGATGAAAGTTTAACCTTCTCAGGAAAGAAAGCAGAACCATCCAGGCAAAAGGGAAAAAGAAAAAGAAAGGAAACAAGACTTTGTATGAAAAGAGAAGGGAGTATTATTTTAAAAAATCCCACACGCTACTCAATGTTTATCTCATGTCCCCATTTCTTACTTTCTGTCCCCAGTCCTTGATCATTTTGGTTGCCCACATCAGCACTTTTCCAGGTTTATGACATCCCGTCTGATGTGTTGCTGTTGCACTGTGTGCCAAGTGTTATGACTGTACAGTGGTACCTCGGGATACGAACGCCTCTACTAACGAACATTTCGGGTTACGACCAGCTTTGGCAGGGAAATTTTACCTCGGGTTATGAACTCACCTCGACTTACGAACCGGATCCGCGGCCACTTTCCCTGCTGCCACACGGTCGTGGCTTCCTGTGGGCGAGGTTGCGGTAGCAAGGAGACATTTGG